TGACTAAGCTCGCTTGACTACGCGTATGAAGATAAATAGGTGAGATACTCGTATATTTTCATGAAACGGTCCATACTATATTCGTTATGATAACCAGTTGTAAGAAACTGGTAACTAAAAACTATTGCCATAACTACGATCTCAAGATATTCGTAGAATTTTTTGAGAATAAATAGATGGTTTAGTGAAAACTAGACTTTTATCAAATTTGTTATGATTTTTATACAACTTCATCAGTCGAAAATAGGGGCGTGTGTGGAAGACGCTATAAATACGCAGAAGGACTTATAGATTTACAAAGGGTCAACTTCTACTAGACGGATACGACTATATTCTGAAAGCACCGCTAGGTGTTAAAACCATCGCTCAGGCCGTCCATCTTACAGATGGAACAGGAGATCCATCGGAGGACTGTTCTTCTGTTCTGTTCTGAAGAATCATCTATATTATCTGAAAAAAATAGTCTTCTATTGTCACATTATAGAATATAAAATAAGTCCAGTACCACTGTAGTAAAAAATGAAAATTAAACTACCTTTATGAGATTACGTACCATGACAATATTATATTTCAACTGGTTTCTGATTGTTAACAATCATTCTAGTATAGCCAATATTGTTAACTAATCGCATATTGGTATATATTTTTACTAATTTACTACATTGAACAATTCAAGGTAAACATAGCTTTTCATCACTTGGTTTATGTGGGAACATGTTGAATTTATACTCATTGCCATTTTATGAGCAATATTCGAAGATCATAAATGCTTTGAAGTAACTTGTGTGCCAAGTTTTCCTACATCGTAAAATTAATTACAAATCTAACATTCTGAAGTACGTTTCTTCACAGTTGCTGATGATTCATGCAGTAATGTACAAGATTTATTAGGGTCTAATGTAAAAGATTTATTTACTGCTGTCACTGTATTCGGTCACAATAAAAAAAAGAAATTTTTATATGAAGGCCCTAAAATAAGTAATATTAAATGTCTAATGACATTTTGCAGATGAATCTGGCTTCATCCGACGATGCTCAGGATCAAGCGACGCTCCTTAGACGACGATAGAAATCGCCTTTGAGGCTTTGAAATAATTGCGAATTAATACTATATAATCTCTCTAAGATATTGAAGGTGGGATTTTAATTATCTAGAAGATTTTGTTAAGATGTTCATGAAAGAAATGTATAAACATTTCTTTAATAGCAATAAATTATGTAACCTCTCCTAAATACTCGTAGGTACAATTTAAAAATGTAACGAAAATAATTTGTCTCTATTTGACTTTTTTCTTATTTCATATATGTTTATGTAATAAAAGTATTTTATTCTAAAATATGCATATAGTTTCATGTGGATATTAAATCTGCAAACTATGATGAAGCAGTTTTCTGACACCAAATTGATGAATTACCAGCGGTAGCAACGTAATATCCTATAGAGAGATGAGTATTTTTAAACAAATATTATTTAGATATTTTTTTTCTCCATTGCACCGAATTCTTACTTTTCTTACAGAAGAATCTGAATTCGCACAAAATACAAATGTAATTGTTTTCGGAAAAGATTTCAGTTTATGTTGTTGAAGTTACATTATCCAAATAATGTCGAATGCATGTTAATTTAACTAACACTACAAATGGTTGACGTCAATTATAAAAAGTCGTGGATATAATACTAGCATTTATATATTTTTAACAAGAAAATCTTATTCGTTCGAACCTGAACCATCAGTAGAAAGTTGCTGGGTATTTTACAATTTTGAAATGGAATAATACATATTTTAAACAACAAATCAAAATATATTTATACTAATATTATAAATGACAATGTGTGTGCGGGTAAAAGCAAATAAACTATATTTCTGTGTTCTTGGGAAAGAAAATGGTTAGAAAATATATAATATTGATTCGTTATTAGGATAACGTAATCTTATAGTTACATTTCAAATAAACTGTATATAGTACAGTAAAATGAGAAATAAATTCAAATCGATGTAATTTATTATCATATTATAAGCTTGCATAATTGGAGTTTTCAACGAGGCGAATTATTCATGCTCCCTGGTGCTCTCGATTTATCTGACTTTAAACCGACAGGCAAATGAACCAGGTTTTCAATTAAAATGTATTTTTTATGTGTTTTACTTGTACTACACCAGAGCGGATATCTGAGAATTCTTTTTGAGATTTATAGATTTTATTATAACAGCAGCATGGTATGTGTGCAACATTAATTATGTCAGAAAAAGAAATTGACTTTTTTGTAAAACTAAATGCAAATTGTACTAAATTAAAAGTGCTTATTATTCTAATGCCACCACGAATTCGTAACTGTGTAACTTCTTGGTTTATAAATCCAAATAAATATAATTTAATAAGGGTCTTTTATAGAGTGATACTGAAGAAATTAAATTAATAAATAGAATTATTATTACTTGAAGAGAGTATTAAACATATTTAAGATGAAGTGGTTGATGAATTAAGATTCTTTAGATATTCGTCACACCGATTCTGTATTAAATTAATTTAAAAAGTATTTTAATATTCTAACGTTAAAAGAATTTTATTACAAAATGACTAATTCAAATACGAATGAATATAAAGTCAGAGAGATACAGTAAAATTGAGCAATTACGTGCTTCAAGTGATGTTAAAATTGCGCAAGATCCTAATGTCCCATTGTACCCATTTCAATTCTGTACTTATTTCACATTATTTGTACTATAAAAACTAAATTCTAGACCATTATATACTTAAATATAATCAGTTATATATTTTTAGTTTCTTTTATAATGCTATAATTGTTGATATGGAATAAATTGATTTTTTTTTTGTGATTCTTGTGTTAGTCATACCAATATAAACAGATATAAATACGAGTATGAGTAGACATGTCAATATTTTGCGACGATAGAACCCGTTACCAAATTTAAAAACCACTAGGACCGACTAACGAAAACGGGCATAATAATTGGACAAATATATCCTTGTATTCTAGTACAAAATAAATTATTTAATAATTAATACAAATAATCACAAAAAACAATTATTGTAATCCAACGTCTATTACAATTATTATGTGTGTACACAATATGTGTTACGGTAGAGTTTCAAAGTCGTCTGCGGGAATACCACAGTTGCACGTATTTCATGCGCTAATCAGCTTGCTTTGTAAACTGAATCGATTGAAGGGTGAGATTGTAAAACTACAGGATTTAGAAGCATCCTAATGAAACGAATCAACGAATAAGTGGAATCAAGGACATCACGTCATCAAGTGATTCCCGTGCTGTTCATGTATATCGGCGACGGTTATCTCTTACCATCAGATGAGCCGTCAGTTCGTTTGCCATTAGAATTATATTAAAAACATCAACTATACTATGTGGTACAACTATATTACTACAATGTGGTTGTGCGTGGCAAAAGTTTTTTATAAATAAAAACATCAACTATATTTTATTTATAAAAAACTACAATTAAACGATACTAATTTATATTATAGTAAGTGTAATAAAAAGTTATAATAATTATTATTCGGCTAAGTACCGCCGATCTACATAAATACAAAATGCATCATCACACACAGGCTTGGTAATTGTTCGACCGTGACTGAAATTAATATTGGACAAGGATTACGAGGCAAAACACGAGTAAGTAATTATGGGAACAGAATCACGGTAATAGTAGGTACTAAGTAGTAAACAAAAGTTATTAACTAATGTCTTAATAATACTTACAATGATTTAAGTGAAGTAAATATATTCAACATACAAGCATTTACCACCTTAAGTTGACGTTTAGAAAATACTTTCTAAGTCTTGACTATTAAGTATATGCAAATAATCTAATCTATACTAGTAAGTTGTTTTACATGATTGAAGTTGCATATCTCAGTTGCCATTTATTGCGGTCTAAGTCAAGGACTAAGTCGTGGCACTTCAAAGAGACTACGTTAGTTTAATCCCTCAGGACTCAGGAGTGTTTTTTTTAAGATTTTTTTTATATGCTCCCGTAACAGTACACCAATTGCGCTATCGGTATACACTTGCTAGTATAAAGAGTAAAATATAACATTTTTTTATATTTTGATCTCCATGTCTTTACAAATTGTGAATATTTTCAATGCTTATCAAATCAAATCAATTAGCTTTTAAATCAGTACCTACTTGTAGATTATAAGAAAGCTGCTCAGCGAAATAATTGAGGATATTTATATCCAACTCTTGTTTATTTATGAATTTTCTAATAAATAAATAAATAAATAAATAAATAATCACTTTACGAAAGCGAATGTAACGACGTCTATCTAATTAATTTGACTTATTTCGACGTTTCTACTCATATCACTGAAATTTTAGCAAATTTTTTGCATATCGAATTCGAAAAGACGTTCTTTAGGGTATTAAGTATAGTTAGCCACTGCGTCAAAGATAAATTATTTATTAATAATGGTGAAAATAAATAATATGGCTATAATTTATTCATTATATTCACGAGTATCCGACACCAGACGAGTATACGACACCAGAGAATTTCCAACGCTATCGAAGCATTAGGTATCTAATGATTTTTGAATATCATACATCCATTGTAGTTTAAATAGAAGATATTCCATTAAGATATGAATCTTCATACTATTATGTTCTGAATATGGTATTAACAGAGCAGTCTAGCGTGCACGCTCGCTCAGTTGTCGATAATTCGATATCTATATCTCATTGTATCAGTACAAGCTCATTGTGTGGAAATAATTAGTACTAGATATGAATTTATAATTTCATTTTCGCACAATTTTGTTACGACCAATGAATAACAAGCTCATGACTTGATGATTCACTATATATTTGGATGCAAGAAAATCTAATATTCTCAAATATTTAATTTTCTATAGATTTTAGAGTATATTTTTTGTATTAATTTGTGTGTAAATAAAAAAAAAGTGTGATGCAGGCTAAGTTGCGCGGGTCTAAGTTAGCCAGTGTTAATGTACTTACATTTGACGGAGTCGGATTTGTGCGGCGACTTCTTGTCGCGCACCATGGTTGTCGGGGCGTGCGCACTGTGGGGCCGACGCGGGCGCGCGCCGTAATACTATCGACCACGACCAGCGCCGCCACCGCTCAGCGCCACGGTGTTCTCGTGGTTGTGCCAGATACCTACAACAATTTATTTGGAGTTACATAGGTAAATGTATACAACACATTTAATTTTATATTAATTTTAAATGTCTACATGATATAACAGGAATTATTATGTATCCGTTGTTTGATTTATCTACAGTCCACAGTACGCATGGTCCACTCACATGCGATCATCTGTACGTTACTACTGCCAGAGTACCAGTGGTAGATGATAGAACGAGTATGAGGTCAGGTTAGATTCCGATTCAGGTTATATTAGAGCTTTGTAGATGTATGGCATCTTAAACTTCACCTATATTGAAAAATGTCTATGACAACAGTAATAATTTATATATTATACTGATTACAATGTGTAACGAATTCATTTTAAGGTAGATTACAATTATTGGTAAGTGTTTTAAGCACGTCTATATGTAAATATAACAGTACAGAGTAGGCTTACTATGTGCAAAAATAAACAATAATAATACTATCATCAGATTAGAGAATCTAAATTCTACTTAATGTATAGAAATAAATTCTTCACAAAATATGTACAACTGAAACTGTTCTCTTGCTTTTTAAGGGCGATATTATTAAATGTCGTGGATAAATTTTAACAAAACTATGAGCTTTTATTATATACACAACAAAAGGCTTCATTTATTCAATGCCACAAATTTATCAATCTTTAAACATATAAGAACGTAGTTTAAATCAGAGAAAAGGGTAGTCAAGTAGCTTTTAAGTGATGCTGTGGTATAAATATTTGCTTACTTAATTAGGTACATACGAAAAACATTTATTTCATAAATACTGAATTAATATGATGTAATAATTATATTCACTTTCTTCATTTTCACATCAAATTTCAAATATTTAACTATGTTGTTAAGTAGGGACTGTAAAGAGTTTCAACCGTAAATTATAATTAAAATGAAGAATGTCTAAATCAACATAATTAAAATTCGTAAAAAATATGTGATCCTACTTAATTCACCATTTCATCAATTTATAATGTCTTATTAATATAAAAGCATATCGCAACAAAATTAATTAATTTGTATTTATTTTGTAATATTTAAACGAGAAGTTATTAAATAAGCTTAATAATTTACTTTAAATTCACGAAGTATTCATAAGATAATTCGTACCGTTTGGCAGTTACGATTCTTTTTAGAAGTGTTTTACATAAAAGCATGATCAGTAATGCAACCCTGATGACCTGTATTGAGTTGCAATAAGGCTCAACTTCGTGGAAATGTATTCTACCAAATTTATCGCAGACTGTATTTACCGGCGAGGTATTTTCCTTTGAATAACTTTTTTTGTTAAACTTTTTAAGCCGCAAGTCTTATTCAAAACAAAAGGCATTTGGTTCTATAAGCATTTTATATTGAAAAGGAATGTTGTGTTTCAATTTGTAATAAAGTTAAAGGCAAGACAGAAATAGACTCAGTGGATTTTACTATTCTTGATGGATCACATTAGTCCTTTTCTGAACGGTTTCAATGCAGAGAAGCCGGCCAAATTCGGAAGGTTGGAAGAGGTCCAAATATGTCCTTAACATAAAGACCATTTTTATTGAGGACTTAATATTAGTTACACAACCCAGCCCCGACCCATGAGCCGTGAGGATTATTGGAGCGTGAGAATTCAATAACTTTCCAGAAAAACGATCAAAGCAATTCAGAGTATATTACATGGTTATGTTGTACGAGGTTCAGGGAACCAGTAAATCGCAATGGTTGATACTATGCCAAACGACGAACCATTTGACATGCGCTGATCTATATTAAAAATTTTATCTTGGAGTTTGAAGATTAAACGTGGATAAATTAAATGCAAACTGAAAATATATATGAAGTATCTGTTTAGAAAATTTAGAAACAATATAAAAAAGTTCAATATTAAAACACACACATTATCTAACATTAGATTAAATATGCATACTTCCATAGTTATATTATAACATCGAAATTATGGCTGTCTGTCCTCTACACACTTTAGCTTTGATTTTCTGGGATAATTGTTATGATTGTATACTATTATTATTTAACTATTATTATAGTTTTAAGAAATTTCAATAAGCTTTTAAAACGGAAGATACTTAGTTAGACCTTAACCTGTGCTTCATGGTACGACGCTACGCTATTAATCCTCTTTCGCTATCCATCTAGATCTACTACAGACATTGGAATGATCTCGGTATAATATTATGCTGTACAAATACACGAACTCGTAATCGTAAATATTGATATAAAAATTATTATAATCCAATACCTCTTAAGTATTAAAAATGGAAATGAGGCATTAACTGTCATGAAATTCCAACACAATAATTCTGACGTTCATGCCATTCCTTCAACCGCACATTGTTGAGCAGTTACCAGCGAGGCAGTGACCGAAGCTTTTTATAGCAGCTAAAACTTAAATCGTCCTTATAATCACGATCCATTTAGTGTAGGTGTAGAGCCTGTGGTGTAATTCTAGTATTCTAGTGTACTTTTCTATTTCTTGAGTAAGGTTAATTAATTTTATAATATATTGCTATTGAATAAACTAATTACGTCTAACCCCGGTATGTACATATGACTATTATTTCTTAACTTTGTATATTTAGTTATGAAAGGTTAATAATTTACAATAGATACAGTTAGGACTTTAATACTGATAGCGATATATTTTAGTCAAAGAAAACAGAAAAATGGAAGTATTAAATTTATTAAAATCATACATACAAAAGAAAAACCCAAAGATACATTTTACATGTACAATGTACATTTATATTATTTACAGTCGCGCCAATCACCAAACTTGATTATTGCCATAAGCGCTATATCTGTTGCTTCCATAGGCTGGTGCCTGTTGTGGTCCTCTATAAATGTTGGAGTAAGATGTAGCAACACCCACATTTGAGTAGCCATTTACATTGTTATAGTTATTAGTAATCGCGTTAGGATATCCAGCTGCGCCTCCATAGTACCCAGCACCAGCTTGAGAATATCCAATACCATTATAAAGCGAGTTGACACCAAGACTTTGTCCAACAATACCAGCATGATTAACTGCAGCGCCAACATAAGGCAGAACTGCGTTAGAATTAGGTAACCCAGTACCAACGCCAGAATATGGCAGCCTAGTAGCTGTTATTGGTAAATTTGAATATGGAATGCCGCCATTATTGTAAGGACGAGCAGCCGAAATTTCTTTAACGATGGACACATGAGATACAGCGGTACCATAGTTTGTAGGATTATAGACATTTCCCTGGCTTTGAATACCATATCCGTTGTAACCGAGTCCTGATCCATAACCAGATGGTATATTGCTACTATAAGTTCCTATAGTACCATGTCTTCCAAGATTCCATGCTTGGTTTTGAAGTGATCCACAGTATGCAACACTAATAAAGCAGAAAATAAATATTATCTGAAATAAAATAAAATATACATAATTAAACATATTAAATGATACAGTTATGTCTAAATATTATACACGTTACTTCGGCTGCTATCTATTCCTCGTTTGTCAATTCAGCTTTCTGTACTCCTAGTACTAGATCTCCAGCGATGGAAAACATTGAACAATGTAAGTCAAATGTTGCGTTCACCACATTGTCTACTGTTTACAATCCTTCTTACTATCCCTTCTGGAATAACAGGTTGGAGGGTATATTTATTTTGTTTTATATTTACCTTAGCAATCATGACGGGGTGCTTTTCGTGTTTTTTGACTTGAAGACTGATTGATCAACTGAATACGTTTCCATCTAGTTTGCTCGTTTTATATCAAGTTTTGAGAAATTTCAAGGTCTTTGTACTTGAATATTAAAAATCGGAGCGTGACTGATAGATGTGTGTAATAGAACAATTGATGTAAATATTATCATTTCATGTTAATTATGAACATTAACCTGCTTAAAATCAGTAATAAAAATCAGTAGTGGTTAATTATTCCAAAATATCTTTGTAGTATACATCACAACGCCAAAAATAACTTTAACATTACATAAAGTACATTTTTGGCACATTACACAATATCTAGATAATTATTGAAAATGTAACAAGTTACTTTTTGTACGTGAATGATATTTGTGAAAAATTGGGGGACTTTACTTTGGGGGGGAGCAGTTAGCTCCCAATAAATAGAATCCAACAATAATTGTTAGAAATTATATCTGTTGGTCTGGGCGTGCTACTCTCAATAATACATTACTAAGAGTTCACTGAAAATTTAGGTTGTTTTATTCTTATTTATATACTTTAGATAGAGAAAGACTATTCTACAGCGTAAACGCTTACATACATTGCAAGATTAAATTAACAGGAGAAAAGGAAAATTTACTTTAATTGTATTCAATTTTAAGTTTATTTATCAATTCTTTTAGTAAATTCCATTAATGATTAAAAATCTATGATGTAAGATGTATGTTTAAATAAGAAGTAACCAAAATTATTTAAAACACCCTCGGTAACGGCCTCGGTGGTCTAGCTGTTTAGCTAACCGTCTTATTTATTATTATTATTAATAATAAAAAGATTTTATTGTTAATAATAATAATAAATAAGAAAATTATCTGAGTATTAATAAAAAATAATAGAATACACTTCAGTTATTTATTGTGATATAAAGAAAATAAGAAAAAGTTAATGTTATTGTTGTAATTATTGTCAATTAAATCAAATCCCAAAATTGGAAGTTAACAATTCCATAACTCTACCACAATATTGTGAGTGTCTTTCATATGATACTGGTACATTTGATTCTTTGGTAGAACTCTATAAGTATTTGTACCAGATATACTTGTACATCTTACTAAAGTAGATCTTCTTCTCCACACTTAATTAAATTGAAAAGTAACTAAACTGAGTTTATTAAATTTTGTTCGTATATTCAGCTGCTAGAAACTCTTTTTAAATCTAAAGTACGATCAGTCTCTTGAAAAGCATCTACAGAGTGCTTCCTACTTTAAGCTGATATTAAAGATTCGACTTCACAATATCTACAAGATGAGCTCGCTAAGAGACGCCCGAAGCGGAACATTGATCAGTATTTATCTAATCTCGACGAGGCGCAGCCACTGCCTCTCCATACTGCTCTGTTAGTATGTGTATAGGACACTACACTTGAGACCTGTTTACACTATAAATGCAAGCAATATTTACCTCGTTATGGGTTCTACAGCAGAATATGCTAGTTCATGACATGAATATGACTAACATAAAAATTTAGATAGGCTATTTTGATGTCAGACAGTATAGGAGATTTAGATTTATTTTGAAAATATTATTTCGTTTATTGTGATTTGAATTACTAATGCCTGAGGTATATACTTGATTACACAAGAGATTAAAAAATATATTCGACACCACAAAAGGCCAATATTTTTTCAAAAATATTGGACGTTACATTTCGTAGACTTATATCATTCCGTGAAGTTTTTAGGTTTGAGTGAAACGACAGACATCTAAAATCATCAAAAACGCAATTTTCTTGGAGTGACAAAACATCTAATATTATGTGATGAATGCCTCCTGAACTCACTTTACGAACAGACTGGAGTTAAATTAAAGGGCTATTCTTTGTAAATTACATTTTGTGAAATTATCTTGAAAATATGCTTTTTCTTTCTTATTTGTACAAGGACTTTAATATGATTATATGACATAACATGATTATATGAATCATTCATTGTACCGTAATATACGAAAATGAGATACTAACTAACTTTATGCTTGTAATCAAAAGAAGGGTAACAAATTCTATTCTTAATGCATTGCCACATTAAGATACGATGCAGGGAAATACGAAGCAAAAGATACTACTACGTAAATAAGTAGAATAGTAGAAATATTTATATTTAGCATTTTCTTTTTCATCGTCATACAGCATTCTGACTAACATGTATTATTGACAAATTAATAGTGTCCGAACGATTCCATTTAAAAGGGGGTACGAAATTACTACAGCCTGAGCGGAGGTTAGAACCCCTAGCAGTGTCCTCAGACTAAAATCGTATCCGTCAAACAGGCATTGGCTTTTAGCAACTTCATAAGTCCTTTCGTGGTATTGGAGTGCCTACTGCAGTAGCTCCCTATCGTTCGATGAAGCCATAAAGCTCAGCTCCTGCTAATAGCATTAAAATAGTTCGGAAAGAAATATGGAGTATTATGTATTATTAAATATTATTTAGCCTAGGTATGAGATTCCACAACATGGACAAAGACAAAGTCGTTATTTTTATTAAAAAAATGTCACGTTTATGCACTACACCAGTGTAATCTTAATTTCTTTTATGTTGACCATATTTCTCCATTGCAGAGAGCTAAATCTTAATTATCAAGGGCTTAATGCGAAAGTGGAAAAAAGGAAAATGGAAGTAACATAAGAGGGGTGAGCGCAGAACAGCCGGGGTGTTGTAAAAACATAATGAAACGAGACTTTTTGTGATTCTAAAGCCCAAGATTGTGCCATGTTTTTGATGTCAAACGTTTATATAAACGTTAATGGTATATGGAATTGGTCTAATTTGGGTTAGCTTTACTGGAGATTGTCGACATCTTGTATAGAGAACACCTATAGCGACTTTTTTATCTGCAGATGTTATAAAAACAAAATTCAGCTTAATAAAGATTATATTCAAATGTAATCTTAATTAGGCTTAATTTAAGAATTGACTTATATATAGTGATTGAATTTGAATTGTGAATAGAAAAACAAATCTGGTGAATTTGTGACTAATTGACTTGACCTCATATTTATCTTATCATCCTCCACTGGTGGGCTGCCAACATATATCGTTCGCGCAGTCAGGTGCACTTGCATTTCATCCATTCAAACAAGTATGAAGATCATATCAGGCAGGTATTGTTTTCTATATCTCCTAAATTTGATGTATACATATATCCATACTATATAACTATTAGAATACATCTTATTACTTTGAAAAAAAAACGTGACATGTTCCGAGCAGTGAGCGCTTCTCAACAATGTCATTGTAATCTAAATCACATCCCACTGTACGACATCCGTTCATTTCACAACAAAGCCTTATATTCCTATTTATTATTGAATAAATTACTTATCGGTGTATGTCGGGTGTCATAAGTCACCCGTTCCGCGAAAACCGTGTTATCTCAGGTAACTGACATAATTTTTGCCGTGATAGGCGCAACCCTCGTTACAGACTGTGCCCTCGGCAATACATTCTCACTCCACTTTGAATGAGCACATAAAACTATACGGCTAAACTCGACCTTATTGCTACCGAATACAGTTCAATAAACCGCAATATTAAACAGTTCCACGAGGAATATAGGTGTGAACTTAACAGAACCTCGGTGAGAATGTTTATTCAGTTGAAATTAATAGGCCGCCCATAAACTTCCGCGCTGGCAGTAATTAAATCCTATTTTAAGAATCAATCAAAAGTTTTATGCTGTTGAAATAATTGTGATTGTTATATAGCATTTAAATGTTTGTAAATACGAGTAGCATCATTTAGGCGACATCGCATCTAATGGCATTCCATGACGTTACAACTTGCCTACCTTTGTAGGCAAGTTGTAACCGTCGCCAACACAGACTACCACGGATATAACCAAAGTAACTGTGATGGTGGTAGCTTTCATTCGTAACGTTTTCTGAGTGCTTACGTAGATGAGAGAGATGACAAATCTCTGGTAGTCGCCGATTGGTCCCCGAACTAGGCTTCCAAGCAGTATATAAGCTCAATTTGTTGCCTAATAATGCCTCGTTTAGAGGCAAAACATGTCGCAATATGGGTGTAGATTCAATAACGGTCGGAATTTAGTCACCAATAGAAAAGATCGAAACTCTTCAAGTAGTGGTCAGATTTCCGCCCTGAATATTTGTGGTCTCACACAAGTAAATGTTAGTTTTAACCGAATTAAACAAAATAATATAAATCCATTAAGTAAATCTCTGGTAAACTGGCAAGTTGGTTTCCCAACAGGTGAACCGTATTCGTTTAGTTATTATACAGATATGATACAAGCGTCGCCTCAATAAGTGTCTACAGTATTGCATTCTGACTCGCACAGAATAACTTATATGCTACTAGTAAATGGTTGAACATGGAAATCTATATTAATAATTTCGTCAAGGGGTACGGTATACTTGACCGAAACCTTATATGAATAACAAAACATAAAAAAAAATTAATTTCGAGTCGACAACATATACTTATCCGCAAAATTCGGATTATGGAGTATTTCGTTAAATTCTAATGACACTGACAAACAAACCGTAGTCGCCATCTTTTCATTTCACTAGCTAACAACCAATCAACACATCGCGTGCGTTCGAGCTAAAAAAGTATCCATCACAAAGATCTATGACTCAGGTGACTGTGTAAAACTAATGGTCTTGCCGAACTCAAACATTGAGTGAATCATAACAAAATTAAATACTTTTCTTCAGTCCTTGACGTTTCGAAAATATTGTTTTTGACACTTTTTTATGATAAAAGAGTATATAGTTATGTGCTTTTTCTTTAAATTGGCCGATTGCAATTAATTTTTTCTTATTAATATGTTTTACAGCTCTGGATACAAGGTACCAAGGTATACCAGGTATTTGCATTTTTAAATAAGGTTGTGGCACTATCGGAAATTAATATTATTTACCCATTTTATAGGTTATACAGAAATAATGTGTGGGTGTTTATTTAAAAAGTTTTAACAGA